TCTTTTACCCCAGCCTTAAATATAGGGGCTTCTCCAATCTGGAAAGTGTAGTCATCCAGATGCCACCTCTCTTTAGAAATGGGATTTCTTGGGACCTTCAAAAGGTATAATGGTTACATCACTGCACTCCCACGTAGTCGACCAAGGCTCGAGTACCTGACCCAGTAGCTTAAAACTCACTCCAGGTGTGTGTGCGTGTGTGCCCAAAATCTCAAGAGGAAAATGGAGAAGGGATTGTGGCCTGGCAATTCCCCCTGTGGGGGGTGGGGGGGGTGGGGACATGATTTCTCACTTTCTGTCTCTCCACAGGCTTTCCCAGTGAGTTTTCTTAACACTCTAGCTTTCTCATAAGGCTGTTGAGGTGCCCTCCCTGCCCAGCTCACCTTGAACTTCAGTGACTTTGGAAGCCACTTGGCACTTCCCTTGTAGGCTCCCAACCCTCCTTAGAAGGGAACATATCTGAGGTGACTAACATGCCTGAAGAGGCTTCCATTATGTCAGTACTAGCCTAGCAAAAGGGAGAACAGAGACAGGAGCCACTCCCCCTTCTACCCTCACTTCAGTTCAGATGAAAAACTGAAGAGAGGAGCTAACCCCAGGGAAACAGATGTGACAGAGTAGCCAAGAAGGCCTGAAGAGAGTAGCTGGGCCAAAGAAACAATAAAGACCCCTATCTCTCCCATCTAATGCCCTCTACTTACCACACTACGTGGGAGGTTAAGTGAGGAAACTGTGGCTTTGGAGGGTATCAAAAGAGTATGTTTTGAGGAAGAAGCTTTGAATTAGGGGCCAAAAACATTGGACTTCTGTGTAACTTTGGACCCTTCCCTGCTCTGGACATCAGTTTCCCCATCTAGAAATGGGAGCTTGGACTACTAAGTCTCAGGCTGCTATAAGAGGTTGGGGAAGGGGTGAATCTGCACCCAGTTTTCTAGTAGCTGCTAGGTCAGAAGACATGGCAGAAGGGGGAACTGGGCTGGTTTGGGGTGCTCTAGGACTTGCTGGAAGCCTTGGGTACCTACCTGGCTGGGCCCAGCACACTACTATAGGACAGAGGTACACTGTGGCCCAGCTTCACTCCTCATACCACCAGCACCCCAACATTTTACTCTTTTAAAATGTACTAGGACAAACCTGTGAATATTTCTAATATACAGAGAAGAGGGATCCCAAGACTTACTTGGTCTAGTTCTCTTGCCCCTGAAAAAAGCCCAACCCTTAGCAGAGAAGGCTGTGCAGATGGAGAGAGTGGACTGAGGAGAGCTGGCTGGGAAAGGGGGGGTTAGTATCTGCTTACAAGCCTAGCAGGGAAGAAACAAACCTATATGAGATGAAAGTAAGGAAGGCTCTGAAACAAGAAAGGCAGATCAAAGGGTTGCAAAGGCCCCTGCAGTACCAGTTTGCCTGCCTTTGACCTCACCGAGTCCCCTTGGGCCATTTTCTCTACTGTCTATAATTTCCCCTAATCCCAAAAGTGCAAGTGGGTGAGCAATGCACCCTTATGCACTGGTACCTGCCCCTTGCAGTGGTTCTGATGTCCCTGCTGCCTTGCTAGAAATACACATACACAATTTTGAAAAGTAACACCAAGCCGAGATGAAAGTCTCGGTGATGTTTTAATTCAGAGAACAGAAGCTGAAGGTGGAGAGAGGATTTAATGCCTATGAAATCTCCAATGCACTGTTAAACAAAAGAGCAATGGTGGCCAGCTCCTCTCAACTCCACCCCCCCAACACATACACATGCACAGACACACACACATGCATGAGAGGCTTAGATTAGCTCTGAGAAAGCACTTCCTGGCAATGAGATGAGTGGCCCAGGAATGCGTGACACACGAAGTCTATGAAATATTTCCTCTGGGGTCTTAACTTTCATGGACAGGATTCAAGGCAGGGAAACTGATAAAACAAGTTGGGTGTGCCATCTTCTAGCCTCAGGTAAACTATCTGAGAAGTGAGTGAGCTGAAAACTCCTTCACCCTCTTTGGTTCTACAATCCAGCCCATTATCAGCCAGGCTTGCTGTTATTTCTCTCATTCCCTTATACTCCCAGACAAGTAGAGCAAACCTATTCTCTGTATACACACTTCCGTAGAGTGTAAATGTAACACTTCTTGAGAAATTTTTAATACCTCTACTATACTAGGAGGGAATCATTAGGCTGCCAACTTCCATGAACTTCCCTCCCTTCTGAAACTTTCAGCCCCCTACAGGGGGTTGACAAGACAAAGAGATATGAGATGGGTTCCTCACATGAGTTCCCAAATTAACTAAGAACCCCCTTCATTCTTGGGGAAAGGAGGAGGTGAGATGAAGGGGGTGGTAAATGAGATCTGTGATGAGCAGAGGTTACCTAAGACACAGGGAAAAGAGCAGCTGCACAGGAGGCAGCAGCCTATCCCTAAATAGCTATGTGAATTTAAGCAAGCTCCTGTTGCTTATCAGGACTTCAGACTTCCATCTGGGGCATAAGGGTCCAAATAGGCGCTCCACAAGGTGCATCCAGTTAAGAAAAAGGGCTCAGAGGAAACCTTGGGGACAATTCTTAGCCCCCCCCCCACCATGTGGATATTTAGTCTCAGATTCCTTCCCTTCTCCCTTTGATGGCCAATGGGAGGCTGACACAGTGCAACTTTCCTCTGGAAACAGCCTGCCCCCCAGCTCTATTTCCAGATCCCAGGGTGGCCTCGTATCCACCTAACTTGCAGTATGCTTCCAATCCCTTTCTAAGATCTCAAAACTTTCAAAATCCCCTTTTATCACGGGAAAACTACATACACACAAATACTCAAACCTCCCAAGTTCTCCATGCTTTGATGCCCCATTGTCCGAAAAGGATCAGATCTCCATTCTACATCCTGGCAATTGGGAATGCCCACCACAGGACTCCAACTTCTTATCTACCTCTCATACCATCTCACTATCTCAGACAGAATAGATTTAGTCACCACACTCACCTTACCTGTTAGCCATTCCTCCTTCCTAATGTGGTTTATCCCTTGCCTATCAAACCCCTATACTTTCTGGCAGCTTCCCAGGAAGATCACCTTGCATGTACAGGTCTCTCATCTCTCTCCAGGCCAGTTTGCCTTTAGGCTAATGAATCAGCAACGAAAAATATGCATAGTCGGGGTTTGAGCAGTCCAGATCCTGAGCTTATTGTTGTCATGATTTATTTTTTTCTTGTAGTTGGAATCCCAGCCCCACCATCCTTATTAGGCATGTTCAATAAATATCAGAATTCCTCCAGGGCTGCCTACATATCCTGGGCATTTTCAGGCTTAAATTATAATAGGAGGCAGACTTAATAAAGGGGTCATTGTGGGTGGCAAGAAGAAGGCAGGTAAGGCACCAAAAAGAAGGCAAACTCATAATTGGAGTCTGAGAGGGAGGAGGATTTGGACAAGTATTGGTTGAGTGGGTTTGGGTGTGGAGAAGGGAATTACATGTAACAGAAAGAAAGGCTTTTGGCCTGAGACAAGGCAGAGGTTAGGGCCAGTCCTGAGCTAGAGATGCCCAGTTAGAAGTAGAGGTCTGTGTTGGGGCTTGGTCAAGGCGGGAAGAGGTGACTATAGTAGTATCTGCAGTCCTGGCTGGTGTCAAAACAGTCCCTGGCTAGTCTTTCACCAAGTGAGGAATTTACTGGATATCACTGACCCCCATCAAAGGTGCCCACCAGGCTCTCCATCCTCAGAGCTTGATCAAAGGTCCAAGAAGAGTCTGACAAGCCCCTCAGTGAATTACTTTCTCCTGTTCCTCAGAGGTGCACCTTTGCAGAGTGACTGTGTGGTGGGTGGGGCTGAACTAGGGAAGCTGCAGTGAGGGAAGGGGCTCTTGTCAGAATACTCCGGGTGCGGTGGGAAGTCCAACAACACAGTGCCCTGTGCCTTGCCCATGTCTACACTGCTGCGGCAGAGCTGCAGAAGGAGGTGTTTGTGAGCAGGGCAAGGCTTGCCTTGACCCTGAGGCCCACATCAAGGTGAACCTGCCCAGAAGGAGGTCAGCTCTGCCGGGCCAGCCCAGTTGCAGGTGGGCTGTGGTGCCTTTGGAGGGCACAGCCCCTCACTGCCAGGGGAGCCCAGGCAAAGTCCGGTGTTCTGGCGGTCACCAGTGACAGAGGTGTCTCTGCAGCAGACAATGACAGAGGCCAAGCCGGCTGGGTACTTTAAGGAACTGTGAAGTTGGAAGGTTTGTCGGTCTAGCTCTCTTTTACACACAGTTCTCTACTACAATGACTGCCCCCCTTGGCCTCTGACACGGAAATCCCGCCTCCACCCCCAACACAGTGCCTATCGCTATTTTTAAAGGAGAGGCTGGAGAGAAAAATGCTGCCAGTGCCCTCCAAGAGGAAAGGAGGCGGGAGTGTG